TTAACAGCTCTAATATAGTTTCTAGGCAACAATTCTATAAATTTAGATAAAATATTATTGTAATATTTCTTCGGTTTGTCACATTATGACAAATATAAGAAAAATTTGTATGATACATTTGCCAATAATAATAATAAAATTCTTTAAATAATTAAAATTTTATTTTAAAGCAAAATAATTTATAAATTTTGATAATTTAAGATAGAATTATCACTATCTCTGTATGTAGATAATACATCTACATTGCATTAATTGATTAATATAGTTTAAATGTGTAAATAAATTAATTATCATAAGTTTATTTTTTAACAATATTTATTATAAGTAAATATCGCGTGATTAATGAAATTTTTTATTATTCATAAATCATAAAAGTGAATTAATATTTATTTAATAATAAGAGTTTTATGGAAAACGTCGTTAATTTTAATTATGTTCAAATACAGTATATATATATATATATTATATATATTCTGAAAACAGGAAACGAAAGGAAAAACAACAATCTAGGTCGCCATATTTGAGTCAACAACTGAAAAAGGTTATTGAACCGGAAATGAATTTATACTCATCTATCTTGATCTTAATATATATTAATATTAATAAGATATTAATAATCGATTATATATTATTTATTGACGATAATTTAAAAGTTAAAATATACCATTTTTTTAATAAAAATGTAAAAAAAATTTTACTTTATAGATAGTGTCGCCATCTGTTATCTAAAAATTTCATTTAATTTTTAANTTTTTTTTTTTTTTTTTTTTTTTGCCGGAAGAAAAAAGTATTTACTGTTAGTTATATTTTAGAAATAAAATGTATTTTATTTTATTTTTTAATAAGAAAATAAATAAAGAGTTAAGAGAAATAATTTGAAAAGAGTTTCAGCGTTATTTACGTGACAATTAGAATTTTTAATAATTATAGTAATAAAAATTAAATTTTTATTTATTTTTATTTAGATGCTCAAACATGTAAATAATAATTATTGACTTCATTAAAAAAAAAAAAATTTAAATTTACAAACGACATTAATTAATTTCAGCTGTATTTTAAGTGCTTCCATCTGTTGACGAGAAATAAAACTTTTTAATTAATTATACTGTAATTTCAAAAATTAATTATGACATATTAATATAACTTAACTAATTATAAATATTAATTAATTATTTAACAGTGCTATAAATAAATCATTAATATTAAATCAAATAATATTAATTTAAAAATAAACAATTTTGAATGTTAGATTATTTGATTTAACATTAATAATTTATCACTTGAAAGTATTAATATTATTTATAAAGCTGACAAATGTATCTAAAACAATTGTAAAAATTTAATGGGAAAAATTTAAACATCAGGAGTATTATTTATATATGTTTTTGTAAATAAAACAAAGCATGTTTTCAACCTGATAAGGAGCATAAAAACCAAAGAGAAATAAAAATAACGCTTTGACATGTTTTCTTTCTAAGAACATCTCTATCATTCTAAAATTTGTGGCTTCTTTTGTGACCCTCAAGGGAGTCATTTCAGTCAGAAGAGAGAATTTAAGGTATCACCGTGTTTACAGTGCATTGTAAATTTGTGTTTATTTACTCTGCACTTTTTTGTTTTATGATTACATTTTATTATATTGTAGGATTTTTTACCCTGAAAATTATTTATTCTATAATATAT